CGCTCGAAATCAGTGCCGCGGGGATAAATCCTTGCTGATTATAACGCCCCGGGTGCGCCCCCCCTCTCCCCTCTCCCTCCCCGCACGGGCTGGCGCCCCGCGGCCCCTCGCCCACCGCCGCGCCGCGCGACCCCGCCGGGGGCCCCAGGCCCCAGTGGACGATAAAGCAGCAAAGTGAATGTCGAGAGGGGTTGGCTTGTGAACGACAGTGCAGGCAAGGCACTTTACCGGCCCATAAAACCTGTATAATCTGCGTGAAAGAGTATAACAGTCACCTCGCGCTTTTACTCACCGCCTTGCCTAAACACAATGCCCCGCTTTACGACCTGCTCGCTCTGCTCGCTCTGCTACCGCCCTCCACCTCCGGCTCCCAATGCCCCGCCGGCCTCGCCGGGCCGCCGTGAAAAGGCAATCTCAAAACACGACTTTGCACTGCAACAACTAAACACGGCCGCTGCACCAGTACAGACCCCTCCCTCTCTCCCTCTCTCTCTCTCTCTCTCTCTCTCTCTCTCCCTCTCTCCCTCTTTCTTCTCTCTCGTGCCATCATTGCCCCGATATAAGGAAACTCCCCCCTCTTTTCCATTCGCTTGCAGTGCAGGCGAGCCTAACCGCGCCCCCTACCCTCCCCTCCCCGAGCCGCTCGATGCTCATTTTGATTCGGTTTGTTTAGAGACGAAGTTGGATAGCAATTATTATCCGGCGCGCCACCACTGCTCGGCTCGTCTCAGCTTGGCCCGGCCCTGCTCGGCGGGGAGCGTGCGGAGAGTGCTAAGGTGGAATGAAAATCTGGGACTTCGAAAGGTAATTTGAAAACCATAGTTCTTTAGGATATGCTGACGATCTTTAACGGCCATTATCTCATGAAAAAAAGAAAGGAATTTGTTCCCCCAACTAACGATTTTGTTACCATAGACATAACAAACAATTAAAGTTGCAGACGAAGTTCGTTATTAGGCTTCGCGTGCGCTAAAGCGCAAAACGCGAAGCCTTAAGCGGAGACTTTGGTGTCTGTGCGTGCCGTGATTTTGTCGTGCACACCAAGGCTGGAGGGGAAGTGACCAGCCTCACACACGAGCCCACCACACTTCCCCTCCAGCCTTGGTCGTGCACACAGGCGAGGGGGGGGGGGGGGAGAAACGGACGGAGAGAGACTCAGACGAAACCGCACCTCGTACTCCGCAATGTGTGCAAAAGTCTGTGCGTGTGTGTGCTAGAGAGTATAAGTCTCTAAGTGTGTGCGCGTGTGTGTGAGCAGAGGGATGTTTGGTTGGTGTGAGTGTATGTGTGTGTGTGGGGAGGTCGCGGCACTCCCGGCAGGAATGCGCCTTGGGCTTGGGCCCCACAGGCGGCCTGTCGCCACAGAAGCTGTTGGCGGGTCTGGCCTCTCCAGTCTGGCCTCTGTCCGGGCAGCGTGAAGCGAGCGAGCTTCGTCCGAACTTGACGGCGGTCGCGAAGACTCGAGCGCACGCGTGCAGTGGCATGGCGTGGTGTGGGTCGGGCAGCCTGGTAGGGGACACGCTCTTTGGTCCAAACTTGTGCTGCGCGGGGCGAATCTCACTGGCCTGGAATGCCGGGCGGGAGCCACGGCGGCAGGGGACGGCGAGACTCGACTGCTCGGATGCTTTCTGTGCCTTGCAACCTGGCCGCCGCGGCACGCTGTCGCGCTGTCGCTGTGCCCGGGCCCGGCCTCGCCGCGAGGGACGCGAGCTACGCTACCAAAGAGATTAGTTGGAGCGGAGAGCTGAGGCCGTATTAAGCTGATGGAGGCAGCAGCCGCCGCCGCCGAGGGGAAGGGGGAGCCCACCTCGGGATCACCAGCCCGACATGGCCCGAGGAGCATGGAAAGGGCCGCTCGTTGATCGTCGTGCAGACAGCACAGGGGTACTCACCGACGAACCACGGGTTGCGCTTGTTGTTGTCGGGCGTGAGGTTGAGGAAGTAGTCCTCGAAGCCGCGCACGGGGTTGGCCTGCGGCTGCACGGACAGCGTGCCCTCCACCTCGGGCTCGTTGCCGTCCGAGACGAGCGAGCGCGCCGACCAGCCGTCCGAGCCGATCCACGAGAAGCGGCCCGTCGCGTTCTTGCGCCGCACGGCCCGCATCACGCCCGCCACCTCCTGGTCCGAGCCGAAGATGATGACGCCTGGGAACACAAGAGACAGAGTGGAGTTGAGCGGGGGGGTGTCTTCCTCCCAGCTTATATTCCTTTTCTTTCTTTTACAATGATACAGATGCAGATGACGCAGGAGTAAAAATGACGACCATAGCATAATGAATCGAATGAGCCTTTGTTCGTGTCGATACATCATGTCGTTCGCTGCCCATACATAAATTCGTAAAAATAGTTTTCAGCAGGTTTCTTGCAAAATCTTTTCTGAAATAATTTTTTTTCCGGCGGAGAGCGCGCTAGGAACTTTAGGGTAGACTCACTACTAGGACACATTTTTTTTTTGGGGGGGGGGAGGGTCCACATATTGGATTTTGGTCCACCATGTGGACCCCTCGCACGAAAAGTGCTAATTAAACGCGTTTTTCCTGGGTTGTCGCGTGCTCCGGGGCGGATGGCCGTGCTTGCGTGGGCGGCGGGGGCGAGGCGCGCCCCAGAGGAATGCCCACCTTGAATTTAGTTGTACGCTTAGTTAGCGGGGCCCTCCACTCCACTCCCCCGAACAGGTGGAACTGAACTGATTTACTGTGCCCTGCTCCGCCCTGCGCGGCCTGGCCTCCGCCCCCGGCAGCAGTGTCACCACTACGCCGGTACCCAAATTTATGTGCATTTCTCATCAGAGCAGCCATATTCACATGCGCCCACCGCAGCGGCAGCCGGCGGCGGCCCTGGCGGCGGCGCTCCTCTCCTCTCGGGGAAATAATTCGGGGCCAACCGTGCGCGTCGGCTGCCTGCTCCGCCCGCACGCGCTGTGCTCCCCGAGCCCAGCCCTCCAGCCGTACTTCATCGATTTAGTTTCAGATTCGCTTTGAGGGTGCTTGCCGTAGCGTGCCGTAGCGGGTACCGAACCGCAGTCCCATACCGTGCGTACGGTACCAGCCGGTACCTACAGCCCCGGCGCCTCGGCGGGAGGCCGGACACGGGCGGTTATCTCGAAGGCGCCCTCGTTACTCGGTACCCTCCGCCTCCCCCGCCTCCATGGAGCCCGAGTGGTACCCCCTG